TAATTTTCAAACTATGCCTTCATCGCTGCTACACGAAACCAGAGCGCTCATTTATTGACATGTATGTTGTACAGCTCCTAAAGGTGGGTTGGGGAGAGGTAAACAGAAACAGTACCTAAGAAACCCAAATGAAAGCAAGAACTTTTACACCTAAATGTTAAAATTTGAAGCTGTAAATGTATTTTCAACATTTTGTGAGAGTGATAGGGGACTAATCATGCAGTGATGTCAAATTGTTGTTCTAAATGTTGATATAAGAATTGAAATGCAGATTTCTTTTTAAATATTTGCGATGGTATACAAAACATTTTCGTTCGAACGTTCTCTTCAACATGTACTACTGCACCTTATGAAATTTGTCTGAAAGGAGCCGTGTTGCATCACATCGTAAGGCATTCTAATTCACATATATTTAGCAAAACGGAATAAATCGAATCTACGGGTATTTTTTGGGACGGTGAAAGACGCTACAACATGTACAATTTAACATTTAGGGGATAATCCTACTGTATTTTAAATTTGCATCGGTATATATCGTGATTATACTGTTGCAAATTGTGTTTTAAACGGATATTTGCGATAGTATAATCATTAAATATATTTTTTAGTGTTTTTTCTTAAAATTTCTGGTCATTCTGCCGTGGGTTGGTGACGTCAGGAATATTCAAAGTCAGGCGAAATTACGTTGACCTTTCGGGATCACGCTATTGACATCATGAACAAACAATTCCATGACGTGGCAGGGCCGGGTCAGTCGGGGTCATCGACGTCAATAACAATCACCATCAGGGCTTCATATTCTTTTTTGGCCTCATAAAAAGAAAACATTCAACTTGAATTTATTTACCAATATCTGTTATAAACTTCATATTGGTTAATTGGTTCTATCTTTTTTGGTGTAGAATTTTTGACAATGCGCATGCGTAGATGCCCTACCATAGCAACGAAACTGAGTTGCTATGCAGAAATTGCCAAAAATATGATGTTTTGGGCAGTTAGCATGCGTAAAAAAAGCCTTCGTATGTGACAAACAAAAAATCCTTTCTACGAATGAACACTGGTATAACAATGTTTAAGCGAGTGAAATATTTATTTGTTTGTTGCATGCGGAGTCTTTCAAAAATTGAAGAGTGCTTATTTAATTTCCTTCAAAATGGCCAATTTTCAATCAAATAGCGCCAGCGGACGATATTCTCGCATTTTATTATGAACATGCGGCTTCATGTCTCACTTTGTAATGCAATATCTCCTTAACCAGTTGTCGAATGAATTTTAAATTTCATATTTGTGTACTTCATTTATTCCAGATTACAAATATAACTACTAGCTATAAATGAGGCCGAAAATGAGCCTTAACGCCCCTAGTCCTTTGACTATTATTTTGATTGCCCAATCAAATGTCGTCTTACATCTCAAATCATTTAGAATTACACTCATAAAAATCAGAATGATATAAATCATTGCTTCATGTAACTTTTAAAAATTAACACGAACTTTATGTAGCTGTGCCGCCAATATTGCCTTATTCCGATGTTTTTTTTAGCATTACAGAACATTAGTGTGCATCTCGTGAACCAAACGATGTAGAAGATACATTCACATCTATAACTCAATAAGGGACACCGTGAAGCTGCCTCAAACCGACACTTCTTGTTGATTCCGGACTCTTAAGTTGTGAGCCTATGATCTCTTTTATAACTCACCGGCAGCCTTTTATGTACTTGTAAACCGATTATAACAACCTGACATACTCCATGAACATGTCACAATCTAAGCCTGTATTTCATTTCATCAAATTTTATTGACAAGATGTCATAATCAATTGGATTGAATAACAGGCAAAGCCTATATAAATTCTCTCCGTCAAATGGCCAAAGTTGAATAAACAAGGAGACATAATATTTTAGACATGTTGCAAATGAAAAAAATAACACAAAATAATTCATAATAACACAAGGCTAAGGGGAAGTAACTCATGAAGGAAACATCTCACACACACACTTACACACACATACAAGTACATGTACAAATACATTTATTTCAGCATATATATACACTATCATAGACAGATATTGGCAGGCTTAGACCAAAAGTCCATGTGCATATATTGCACAGGTCACTGCTACCAACAACTGTTACAATTAAAAATAATAAATTCATTTAATACATATAAAGTGTAATTATTTACAATGTCATGATAAGTACACGCAATAGACAGTAGTCATGCTCAACTAGAATCTCCTGGATGAAATATAGAATATATAGTATATTTTTGTATACCATCATGGCTTTAAGTCATATAAAAATTAAAACGACGGGATTTTCCAATAAAAATATGCACATCATCAAGTATTCTTCTATTTGTAAGCCCATCACAATCAGGACAGCCCTGGAGAAGAATGTTTTTATCAATGTGGTTGTGGTTTCCATAACTATTAAGAGAAGTGAACAAAGTTGTTCTTTGATTATTAAAAATAGGACATTCCAAAAAGTAATGAGATACTGTTTCATGTTCAGCAGAGCAGGTACAAGCAGGACTATTAGTAAGTTGGTCATGGTGTAAATCATAATTTAAATTACTGCAAGAGTTTCGAAGTCGACATAGAATAATACTTGCTCTTCGGTTAAGCCTGTATTGCATTGAACAGCTTCAAACGTGGCTCGTTATCTTTATATTTGGATGTGAAAATAGTGTATGTTAGGTCAAGCTAGCGTTAATGCAGTCAAATTCGCCATGTAGCAAGTCTTTGAACATCACCGCTAACGCATGCTTATTACGAGTTCTGTGTTTTATCTGTCCCGCTATAGTGCAGCATAACTGAAGTTGTTTCGCTCGTATCTTAGGCATTAATTACATCACCCTTCACTTTCACTTCGGTCAACTCGTAGACATTGCTTTGAGATTCGATTATGACAATAATGTATTACTGTTTAGGGGCATAAGACGCTCACGTAACCAAACGTATCTCGAACATGATGTCATTATCCCTTAGGTATCAATACAAAACAAGGTTAATTGTATTTCAGTGAGATGCTTAATCATATCTGGTACATGTCCCGCGTAAAGAAAACAATGCTCCAATCATCTCACTTACCGCCTGACAGCACCACGTGATCACCCGTGGTAAACAGGGAGATGTCAAACTATCTGTATCAAATTGTTGAGGGCTTAAAAACCAATCCCTCTAAACAGTCATCACATAAGGATTATATCCTACTCTATCACTCAATGTACGGCCTATCTCACTCTATTTGGTAGTTGGGGTAAGTTTGATCAACAAACGAATGTGTGTCAAGCCGCTCAAAATCTGAATGTCTTACGTCGTATATTGAGCCGATTGTAAACGAACTTAGTTAGCAAACCGATTTTCACAACCCTAACTGACCAAGCCGAGACATTCCAGGCAATTTTTAATCTAAATTCGTTCCGAAAGTTTATTTCGTTTTACAAATAATAGAAAATAGCTCCATTTCATGATGTTAATACTATATTGGTTTTATTCGTTCCTATCTTAAGTTTGATAGCATCAATGTTTACTTCTTACAAATAGTCATATTCAAAGTGCAGATATTATAACATTTGTTGATTTACTCTGCCAGGGAAAATGAGCACGCGATATATAAGGTTGTAAGAAAGGTTTATCCAAAATGCCTGAAAATGTAACACGAAATTTGTTATGATAGACTTTAGTTTTATTTAGATAGACTGTCGTTTTACATTCAAAGACTAGAGTTGCTTTTAGAAATACATTTTCCTTGAGCATTTTCGATCACAAGTTGTATTGAAAATGTGTAACCAACGCAAGACAAATAGTTCAAAGATGGACGCAATAATAGAACAAAACAATACTTCCGCAGCCGTGCAATATATATATCAAGCAATGTAATAAATGTGTCTAGACCTGATGTCGGGACTGATCGTTTGTCCTCAGGGTCGATCCTGTCACTGGAATGACACCTCTAACCAAATAAGTAACACATCGCTTGCCAGTGTATGTACGCAATCGCAGCAGCCCTTAGGTGACAGTTACCTGAGCTCCAGATCAGATTAATCCTGCCAATAGGCTTCGTTTTGGTGCCTTTCTGATTAGTTTTTTGTTCAAATTAAATCCGAGGTTATTATGAATAGTGGACGCCCTCATTGTCTCTTACGAAGAATTTGTTTGGGAGAAATTGGTTCTTGTCAATTAACGTCGTTATTTGGATCCGGATTCAGAGATAATTGAATGACGACAACTGTCACAGGGCCGGAGAATTTACGAAATATTTATAATGACTATTTACGAAGTGGTTTATACTCTAGAGCAGAGGCCGTATAGTATGCGGCGACATACCACACGCACTTACACTTTCACGATCCTGTTCATATCTAACACTGAATCCGATTCCCGTGTCACATACAACTAACACACACTCGATCGACAACCAGGAAGTTAATTCCTCCCGGTCGCACACTAAGAATTCCAACTCCCTCTCTGTCGCGCACAGTTAAATAATTTCTTTCATATATTTGTATATTTGTAAAAGCAAATTCACATAACATCAACTGAAAAAGACTATTTGAAATAAAAATGCATAACAAGACCAAATGAAGAACAATCTATATTTGCCGATAAAAATGCATTGATATATTTGCAGATACACGTATTACATTATAGATTATTGATATGGCTTACAACCTTTCTAAGGTTTAGATACTAAATTGTGCTTCCTTCCCAGCGATAGAAGAATTCCAATAGCAAATTTATTTAAGCTAATTAATTGTAATATAGAGATACAAGAACCGTGTACGATGTGAAAACTACTAGACCCTTCTGCGTTGTGTTGGATTTCTAGAATTTTGTACGTTGCGTTGAGTTTATAGAATCTTCTCCGATGTGTTGAGTTTCCAGAATATTGTGCGTTGTGTTGAGATTCTACAACATTGTGTGTTGTACTGAGTTCATAGAATCTTGTATGTTGTGATTTTATACTAAGTATCTTTATTTTGTGTGTTGCAGGCTGTTTGAGACGGAGCCGGACCTAAAACACCTCTTTCCGAAGATCGTCCAGATGAACGAGCAGAACAAGCTTGAGTGGGACATTGACCGGGACATGCTCACGAAGCACGCGGTGTCTGTAATGGAGGGACTTGGCGCAGCCGTTGAAAGCCTGGATGAGTCCGAGTTTCTTAACAGTGTCCTCATCTCTATAGGACAGACACATGTAAAACGACATGTTAAACCACAGATGTTAAAGGTACGTCGTGTTCTCTGTAGGACAGATAAACACTTAAAGATAATTCAAACCTCAGATGTGAAAAGTACGCTTCTATCTCTGTAGGACAGACCATTGCGGAACAAAAGATGTGAATATTACGTCAGATCAAGATAAGCAGACGATATGTCAAACGTCAGATGCTAAACTATTTCAACATGTCAATAAAACAGATAAACACCACTAGACATGTCCAATGCAAAATGTTAAAGATGTGTCTTTATTTCTATAGGACACAAACAACATGTCGAGCCTCAGATGTTAAAGATGTGTCTTTATTTCTAAAGGACAGACACTTCATGTCGAACCTAAGATGATTAAGGCACGTGTTTATTTCTATAGGACAAACACTACATGTCGAACCTAAGATGACTAAGGCACGACTTTATTTCTATAGGACAGACAATCTGCATGTCGAACCTCAGATGTTAAAATTGCGTCCTTATTTCTATAGGACAGACAAGCTACATGTCAAACCTCAGATGTTAAAATTGCGTCCTTATTTCTATAGGACAGACACGCTACATGTCTAACATCAAAGGTGAAGGATCCGTCACCATTACGATAGGACAAACAAACTAAATGCTGAACCTCATCAATCCCTACAATATTTGTTAAAGACCCGTCAATATCTCTTCAGGCCGAACGTCAGTATGTTTGCCTCAGTGACCATGCCACATGTACCTACCACATTCTCACGGTTTCCTGGTTGTTGAACGGCCTTTTTGTTGATTGACCATTGCGTTTAACGTTTTAGGGGTTCCGTTTTATTATGATAGGTGTTTCTAAATGGAGAAATTGCCGGCGGATGTTCTAATACGAAGATGTTCCCCTATTGCTACTCACTGAATGATAACGAGCATAGAACTGCTGTGCCTAATGTTCCAAATAAAATGATTGCTTTACATCTAGTTCTGTGTGTATATTCAGGGACGGCCTTGCCCTTTATGCGACATTTAAGTTGTAATTATTGCGATCGTTTCTATAAGACACATCTTGCTGTTCTTTATAAAACCCGTACTTGATGAAGCGGATGCTGGCTTTTACCTGCTTCTCAATATTTTCTTTATTGATAAAACATCATTCAAATCAAACGAATAGCTAATGTTCATTACTGCTCAGCTAACATCATATACGATTGCAGGTATATGTGTACTTCAAAATGGCTAACCGGTTAAAGCTACCATCGCGAGATAAGAACCGCCTTGATGCCACGCTTAGACGTCTCCTGGTAAAAAGTATTGAGTTTGGAAACCATCTTTTATTACTGGGATGTCAACTTTCATGAGTGGGAACAGCTACTCTTATAGTCATATTATATTATCTTATCTTCATGGCCTTTCATCAGTGCAAAGCAATGCACTATGGTTTGATTGCAGGGTTTGGAGATGAAAAATACCCTGGTCATCCTATATTCCAACAGATCCTTTCTTACGAACGTGGGCTTCACTATGAACTTGTTTCATTGATGCACCATTGGTTCTGTGGCGTCCTGAGCTAGTTCATTTGTATAACAGCTCTCATTATTCCTGAATATCCGACCGGTTTCTTTTCATCTCTCTGGAAAGTTGTTCTATGTTAGATGCCTTGTACCTGTTACAAACGCTTCATGCACCAACATGGGTACAACGGGATCCTCAATCGTATTTTGTGTATCCCGTATTGGGCTTTCATCAGCAGTCATGCACCTTTATTGCTTATATGTTAGTTGGAATCTCCTATTTCTTCTTTGATATTATTCATTGTGGTTTCCGTAACAAGCGATGTGTGTTCTAAGCTGCACATTCAGAGCATTACATAATTGATAGCCTAGTATATTTCTGTTTGGGTTTCAGTTTCTTTTTTCGCCATCTTTTCAAAATGTCATTTCAGCATCAACTCCCCAGTTATATTGAAGTTATATTGACACACGTGTAACATATATAGTTTTTGGCAGAGCCTGTATCTGACAGTTGGCATTTCAATCTATATTAAAGAACAATACATGGCGACCCTAGCACTCTTCGTTGAGACCTTTTGCTATGAAGATCAAATATTACATTTAGAATGATTGGGTAAATAAATAATACATTATGTATTTGTTATATTTTGATTTTGAAAGCGTACTTGAATTGATATTTTTAAATATTTGTCTCTTATCAAAATGATTGACAGGTATGTATACTGTGCAAAAACGTATCGTATCTTAGGAAGCACTCACCGTTGTCATACCTTTTACATACTATTTTTCCCATAATCCTTTTGTGTCCTACTAAAATTTATCATTAAGTAAGGTTTTGTGTATTGTTTCATGTGATGTCCCTCATAAATAGTAACGGGACGGTTACTTATGATAAATTTAGGTCAAAATTTGTAGTTGTTTTCCGCTTGAATATCTTAATTGATTTCTTGTTTGTATTTCATCTCATGAAATAGGATATTATTTTGCTATATTCTAGCTTATCTAGCACTCCACTTGTTTTCTCAATTCAGGGTCGTTGTTGTTTGGTTGATTTTCATCATGTGTTTTGATAGAGTAGTAGTATACGGAATATACAACACGATCTGCCTTACGGTATTGTTGTATATAATCTTCTTACATTAAGAACAGGACAACTTTTCTAGCATACAGTACTAATACTTTATTTGATAACTAAACATTCTCTGACGTCTTAGCGGTTAATTCATAGAATCGAAATACATTTTGAACAATTTGATTACAACATTATAAAAGAAATCCACTGTTTAGCTGTCACTGCTGCGAATGTTATTGTAATCTGGCGTCTTTTTATATTTTTATTTTCTATCTATATGCATAACACATAAAAACACTTTAAACGTGTACAGTCTTTCTCTCTTCACAGATACCTATCTAAATTACAAGCGCATGCATGTGTCTACTACATATATCTTGAAGCATTGCGTTTGTATATCCTGATTTCCTTAATCCGTATTTGGATAAATTTAAAGTGCATAACATCCAGTTTGACACATTACGTTATCATACACACCATGACTTCTTTCAATCATACCTCGAAATGTCAAAAAACTATAGACAGGTTTTTTTCTGATACATAATCTTAATGTCCTTCTTATCAAACTCAGTAAAGTAATCATGAAAAAAATGCTTATTTTTCTGCTTTGAATGTGTTGGCTGTCGTAAGTCAGTCGGCTGAGACTCCAGAAGATTGTTTCGAATCAACACTTAGTGTGAAGGATGATGGTAACAACACACATGTGATTGCGTATATAAAATTTGCCAATAGATACAGTATGCTTACCGTATAAAAACTAATTATACTGCACCATACAGCTGTTTTGTCCATCTAGGACTCATCAGTAACGTAAGGAAGTACAAAAGTGGAAATACAATCTGTTTTAACTATCAATGAAACACATTAGGAGATGCGTAATGTCTCTTAATTTCGTTAATGTTTTCCCCTGAACAGGACTGCGGATCTGATTTCCTGGATTTGGCTCTACTGTAGCAAGGTTTCGTCTCTCCGAAGAAAATCTGCTTGCCTTTTTGTCGTGGATTCATTGTTTTATTTTTGACATCCCCATTATGTCATCGTGCGTTTATGATGATACTTTTAATCTTTTACATGTTCCAGATGACGGAAAGTCTTGAGACATAGTATTTTTGTAAAGCTATCTCAATAAATTACATATTTCAATTTTGCCCCCCTCAACATTTCACATAGTCTTCGATAGATCAGCAGACGTGCTCAATATGCTTCTTTAACAGAATCTCAAAGTTTACTCGTGTATATTCTCACAACACTATATCGCAATGTTGGTGTTCGATGACGGTTTTGGTCGTACTGTATGAAATCGCAATGTTTATTGACGGAAAATTGCTTACGCTCTATTTGATTCAAATAATTGTGAGGATGCTAGACATATAATTTCTTATACGGATGTTTTTCACTTGTTTTGCTCACTTGATTGAGGTAGGTGATACAGCCAGTATTGATGATTAGTGTTGCTGAAGCAGACTGATGACCCTCGGCATGGCGACTATCCATCCACGATCGTCAGACAGTTCTAACATTGACGAAACGAACACTTTCGTCTGCTGCACCCACGCCCTATCAATATACACGATCGTAAATCTAATATATGTAAATATATATCATATAATTATTGCGAAGAGAGGAACGATCGATTGCGTTTAAATTGTGTATGGGGTCTTACTGTAAGCAGCTGCTGCAACTGTTATAAATCGACACTGTCATTATGATTATATCAGACTGCGGTTTTATAATTAATTATCAATTCATTAATACTAGTTCCAAACGTTTACTAAAACATTTGACGGAAAGATTGCTGTTTCAAGGTTAACAATTTACATCAACACTTCCGACAAAGTGATTTGATCTAATGATGTTCGCTAACGTATCCATCAAGTTTTAATTTTGTTCAATTGATTATTCAGTATTTTATTCGTGTCTTGAATCAAAGTCGCCTTCACAAATAAATCAACAGGAGCAGCACTTAACATTTAGATTGGATTCTATTTGTAATATCCGTCACACCCCACAGGTTGAATAGCACCTTCTGAAAAACAGCAAAAGGAATTCATACAGCAATACTGATTGAACTCACTTTCAGCAAAACAAACTGATCATACTGTAAAGTTGAAAGAACTCTGTCCTCAATAGAGACCTTTTTTCTTGTTTAGAAATAACGCAAGGTGACCGGGCTGCTGATTTCCGGCTTTCCTTGTACCTGCAGGTTGGGGATCTAGAAAATAATGCACCTGCTGCTGTTACATGTATCCACTACATGGACCGTAAGAGGCAACTAATGTATGAAACCCTGCAGAGTTGGGGATCTGCTTGTGTGCCCTCTACTTGGGGACACAAAGGGAACCAAAATTAATCCCCTGCAACTATAAAGTTAGGATCGTTGTATTTCTGATTACTTCTAACTACCTATCATTTCCTGGCGCCTTATTTGTCAATAAATCACATTTGGCTTTGATGTTGAACGTTCGCCCATGCGAGGAAGGCGATGGGTTCTGTCTCCAGGCCGGGACATGCCAAAATCATTAAAAATTATAACGTTCAGCAATAAGGGAAATGGCGACAACTGGTTCACCAATTGTCAGTATAATGTGACCGGCCGGAATGCTGTGCTGGGTGCTTTCGGCGGCAAGGTATTTCAGTAAGATTGCACTTAAGTCGGCATTAGATCCGCGCTATGAAAAAGAGGCAATTACACCAACATACCCTGCCTACTGCACATACACCCATGCACGCATCCACAACATACATGGAGGCACGTCCTTAAACGACCATTACTGTTAATAGGATGTTAAAAGAAAAAAATCAAACCAAACAAATCAATTAAAGGACGTACGATCGTTCAAAATGAAGCCTTTTCAGGGTAACGCGTTATTGTAATAGAAACAAGATATACAATTAGATTTTACTGGAAAATCACAAAAAGATACAAATGATACTTCGCTTTTGTCTCATTAATGTCCATCATGGGGAACTGTAGAAGCCCTTACTCTGGGCTCTAGCCAATAAAGTGTCGTTAAAATACTGTAGTGGTAGAAATTGATATGACATCGGCTAGACAATTATCTGGATTCGTATTGTAAAACGAATAAGAGTACAGTTCGTCGACAGAGGTTTCATACAAAATTGCTACATCTTCCTTTTTATGTTTGAACTTCTATTAACTGAATATTTCTTAACACAAAATTGAAACAAAAAACATTTTGTGTTTGGGAAACCTCTACATTTGATAAGACATAACGCAATGGAAGTTAACACAAACTCCTGTGCTATGTTCATCAGTGTCATGTACAGATTCCTATATCCCTTACAGGTCACGAACAGGAAACCCATCGAACAACCAAAGAGCTACTTAAGTGAGATCGAACGTATCTTTAAAGAATACGTGAATCTCGTTAAGTGGAATCCTTTAAAAGCTAATGACATAACACACACTCTCCCCTGTACCTCTTTGGAAATGCAGTACGGTTTAGCAACGTTATAGATGTGATTCAGCATGTATTGACTTTAAAAGAGTGATATGTTGATGAATACTCACTTTTGGATGTTGCCTGTGTTATTTAAGTAACGCGATGCTATTTCAGATCTACAAGATATCCCTTTAAATTTACTCTGTCTTTGTTTTGATATCTAAGGAATGTCTTGTCTGTTTTATGCAAACAGTGTCATGCATATCTAAAACATTGAATTTTAAAACAATTTCCAAAACTTGTGTCTCTGATCAAATGGTAAGCATGTGCTTTCTTGGATCAGGTGGGGAAGCTGTAGTGGTTTCACATGTGTAGGCGATAACATCTTTTGTTTTGAAACAAAAGGGAACAGTGGCATTAATTGTGTTAAGATGGATTTAACAAAATTTGTTGTACTCGATTGAATTTAGAAACAAAAACGAAACCAATGCATATAAAAATTATTGTGAACACAATGCAACATTTACCTGACACGAACAGTTTAAATGTTTTGGTAGAAAATGGTACTATACTTGAATAACAAGAGGCAATTATGTCAAGCATATTTCGTCTCGCTGACTTGCTTTATATAAAACAAAGTATCACATATTCATAACTTCCAACACCGTTTGAAATAGAATAGAAAAAATAGGATATAACTGCTGTATTAAGTTTGGAAAAACACGGAAGATAGACGTTTGTATTTCTTTTGAGATATTCATGTGACGAATTCTTCAATATAACTCTAGATATATGTTTTATAGCGGATCTTTACACTTCTTCACAAACGTGTAAACTTCTTAAAAGAACACTCCTGCAATGATTTCATTGTTTAGTTACCCAACAACTTCTGATTAAAGAGGTATTTCTTATTTTTTAAAACAGCAACAATTGATTTGTTGATTTGTGTATCTTTGACACTAACTTTTTGCATTTGTAGCTATACATTCAACCTCGAATCACATATAATATCAGTGTGAAATTCAACACCGGAAGATTCCCTTTCATTCTGCAGTAGTTTTTGTCCTTTTACCAGTTTTTCACAAAATTGCCGACTCTTCATAAACAAAAATTAATCATAACTAGTGTATTTAAAACGATGTCATAGTTATCTTTCCCGTTTCTGATCTTCGACAATATTTAAAGGATACATTTATATTCAGGATGGAATCTTGTAGGAATTTTAATCAAAGTATAGAGAATAATAAACGAAATTCAGAAACGTTGCAAGGATCCTTGAACCGTGTAAAATATTACCAGATTTCCTTGTGTATGAACCATTGCAACTTTTAAGAGGACTAACAAAGTACAAATTAAATTCGTTTTCTAAAGTATTGTATCCTGGATATAAACAATGTTTTACCTTAACGTTTTCCCTTTATATGTTCTACATAAAATAAGGTTTGCGTTCTAGAAAGCAGAGGCTAATTTAAACATGGTCTCGCCGTAACAGTGTCAAACATAAAACTTCTTATCGTTTTTCCTGTATGCAATTCTTCACAGTTTTTAAACATTATAACGAGAATAAGATGTTTGGAAGAAGTCCCTATGGTAACAATATACATAATTAGTCTAGCCGGCCGATCTAGATCGCAATCTACCTTAGCGATGTCTAAAACATACAGACGACAAAACCAGATTCGATCTAAAGAGATACGGAGACGACACACCGGAAAAGTGGTTCTCTCAGTTGAGTTACACGGGAAGTTGAAACAAGAGTGCCATTCACCCTATCTAATCATGAATAATTCACAAAGTACAATATGCAAATTATATCTTGGATTTAGATAAGAAACAATATGCCAGCATAGGCAAATAACTAAGAGCTATAAAACGCTTTTAGCCGGATCACTGTAAAGCACGTGCTTTTCCCCTAGTCCATCCCCTGCCGGGCACGTAGCCAAGAAAATCTGAGTGCTGACAATAAACTGGTGTCCGTCGGTACTTCCCGTCTGATATTCAATGATGTAGCCATAATATTGTACAACTACAAAATGAAACAAGGAAATGTCTGCTTACGAATCTTTTGATGAAAATGACATTCGGTTTTATCATAAGTGTTATACATATGTATTGCAAAGCATACTACTTGAGTAGAGTTTATCACATTGGAAGAGGTTAATGCATTTGGGAAAATGGTCTTGATTTGATTCTGTAAATTCACTCTATATGGGGTAATGATATATAAGGTGAACAAAAATGCAAACATGCATGTTTGTGTCATATACCCCCTGTTTTACAGAACTCCCTTAAAACCCTATATAAAAAATGTGTGGTTTTGATATTTTGTACTGCTCTTGTAATAGTATTAGTGCATATGTATATACCTTATGTGTTCAGACTATAAGGTTGTCAAGAATATAAAAATCTTCATTTTCTATTTTGAAACAAAATAAATTTCAAAATAAAAAAAACACCATATGTAACATGTTTCTGTTACAGATACTATGAACATCCCTGCACTGTAACCGAATGAAGACTGATTATATAAAATTCATTGTATATAAAATAAACAGATAATCCCTCAATTGAAGCAATATCGAATATGCATACTAAAATGTGCTTCAAAGATTATGGTCTTACTCTGGACCGTTGTCTATCATATTAATAGTAAATATGATTTCAAGTAATAAATGTTTACCCTTTTGACTTTTGCAGAGACTCTGGCCATCCCTGAACTACGGTCTAAAACAGGTGCTGCAGTCTAAGTACAATAAGGAGGTGAACGAAGCCTGGAAGAAGGTCTACTTCTACATCGTGGCACACATGAAACGGGGTATGGAAAATCCCGACCTCGACATGGAGTACGACCACAGATGAGGATATTCCGAATGTCCTCCCGTGTAACCACCATCGAACTGATAAACTCGTAAATCGTCACAGGTTTCGTTAATGAATTCATGTATGGTTTGAACAACTGTTCGGTAAATCGTGACGTCAGTTTGGTCATGGTTTTGACGCAACAAAGACAATGTCCTTTACTGTATGTGATGTCGTAGACGATTGATGTGTAGCGATAATGAAATTCAGTTTCCTGATTGTGTGGCCATGTTTGTTAATACGTGTTTATGGTTTTCAACACAATTGCTCACGTCACTACAATGACAGTTGAATTCCATCGCCAGGGTTATTGTGTACAGATTAATTCAAGTATCGGATACCATCGTCAAGAGTATAAGTCGGAGTAGTGTACAAACGACAAAATAGGAAACAAACTATGTGATAAGGTTTTAAAAACATGCTAGTTTACCAATGTAATTTATCAAATCATCTACCATGTGAATTATGTCTAAGCTTACAACATCATAACAGCACCAGGACCAATAATGGCAAATAGGATAATATGTACTTCCTAATCATTAGTTGATCGCCATTTTGCTATCATCACATTGTTTATTTCTGTAATTATTATATTTTGTGAAGATATCTAATACACACGAAAGGTGGCATTTTGGAATGCAATATACTCTGAAGACAACGTGTATAATATACATGTACAGTACTTGTGACCGTTTTTTTCTTCCTGGTGTTGCATGTGTACTACAGTCTGTTATAGGGCATTGCCTGTCTTCCCCGTGTTTCATTCCGTACATAATATTTCTATTTATTAAGATATATTGTCAATGGATTTACTCTATTATATGTAGATATAAAGGTCTATCAGGTATTTTGTTCTGGCAATCATTGCTTTATTCTCTGGAGATCGGAACCGATCCGTAGGACAATCTTAATACTGGTTATGGTCAAGACGTAAGTGTTGTGGTCTCGGAAATGGTTTAGAGAATTTGTTATTCACTAAAGTATCGGCTTTGCTGTAACACACTTATATACATACATATTACTAAAAGCTATTGTATGTAAGTGTTATTTGGTCTTTTATGAAGGGGAATTTGGAGGACAATGTCCTGTGTGAATTTCGACCGTGAATGATTAATCAATATATTATTAATCAGAACAGTATGTATGAATTACATGAACTGTCTGTAGCAGCGAGTAAGTATACAGCTGAAGTGATGTTATATTCATCGCTGATGACACCTATCAGCTGACTGAGCGTCATTTACACGCTACATTTATTGTTCCTTTCACCTGTTTTTCGTTTTAATACATATATATGTTTAAACAAATCTAATTGCCTATCTAGAATAGTTTTTTGTTTAAACAAAATTGTATTTCTTATTTGTTCAATGTATAGCACTCTGATGATAATCAAGATAACATTTTCAGGAAAACAATGTATGGAATGATATGAGGTGATCTATTAAAATCAACAGCAACGGATGAGGAACTTATATCGATATTGACCAATTTGTTATGATATAAAAAGAAACTGTATTTTAAAATATAGGTTAATATTATTTTTTGGATATGAGTTTAACAAACCATTGTTAATGGAATCAAGATAATGAACAATGAAAACTTAATGTGCAATATGAATAATAATATTGACCGTCACTAGAGTACGGAACCTTCAAGCATTTTAAGCACCTTAAACTAGAAAACTTACGCCCAGTCAAGCTGCCGCCCTTTACCGGTAAAATTCCTATTTGCCCAGTGTTAATTTGGCCCTTGACATGCAATGACTATGTACAGTATGTTGTCTTTTAATTTTCGTTGTCAGGATCTATTCACACTCATTAGAGACGGCGAAAAATCCTAAAGAAAATTTGTGACGAAAAATTCCCGGTTTTATCAGCTTGTTCGTTATCTCCTTAATTGTAAGTAGTGGACATGTTTGACTGTTTGTGTGTTATAACGTCGAACTGCACCTGGTGAGTTTGTAATGTTTTGTCTGGGATGATATTCCCAATGCTATGTTCAGACGCCGGAGAACAAATTCATTCGCGTGTAAATGTTAGTTTTTGTAGAGTATATATGGTTAAATAACGTCGTGAGCTATACAAGTGTCCACTGAACTCATTAAAGTAGAAACAATAGTTCATATCATCATATTTTATTCTTCAGAAAAAACTTTGTCAGTAGACATATCTTATAGATAAGATCATATCTTTTTGTAGCTTTTCAATGCTCCACATGTCATCGAGAACAAAACTCGTCTTGTAACGTGCTTTTTCATTGGTTGGTATTTCTCAATGTTACAAATATGATATGCGTCACATATTTTGAAAACGGTATGACGTATTGGTGATATTTGACGGTGAGATCAATACTCCATAATTAACTGAATGGAGTATACATCACATATTCATAAATGGAGCATACACTGTATTGTGTATTAATGTTAAAAACAACGTTTTCTCTGGATATGTATATCTAGTTGCAAACTATTGTGTCGCATTATAATCAAGGAGTCATAATTCATTAGTTTTTTTATTGGTTATCTATTCCGTCTTTGCGTATTGCAGAGTCATCTTCTCTTGTGAGCAGGTATTGATTGTTACGGCATTGGTTTGTGTGAGAAAATTACGTCGTTTTCTCAAAAATTGATGACGTTGCTCTCACAAACAAATGACGTAACAATCAATACCTGCTCACAAGAACAGATAACTCTGCAATACGAAAAGACGGCATTAATGTGTACAAAAAGAATTGCCAGGCTTACTTCAATTTGGTTTTAGATATGCTCTTACATAATGTACAAAATCACAACATTGCATGTTTTATCAAATATAAAATAGGACAACATTTTTGTTAACTACAAACCAACTTCTATGACTTGATTGAAAGTTGTACATGTACTATACTACTTTCCCTTTACTTTTGACAATTCAAGGAAGAACTTAATCTCTCGATTACTTCATTGCAAACAGATTCATTTCGAGTCGAGCTTAAATATTTCACCCTCGAAGCTAACAATGCATGTTATTTGGACCAATTTGATACAAATATGTATTTTCTAACAAAAATAAGAATCTTGTAAAGATGGACATTTTCGCGGTGTTGAAGTGTTCGGGTTTTTTTGTGTTGAATCAAACAAGCGCAAAAATATCCACATGCGAATGTAAATATGTAGAATGTAGATTAATAGGATATAATGATTTTAGAACTATTGCGACGTGAACATTTACACACCACGATAGGTTTAAAGGTGGGTGATAGGGTGGTGCAGTGGATAACCCACTCGCCTTTCACCAAAGTACCCGGGGTTCGATTTCCCGATCAAGAATGAACGGGGTTACCTGCCCGACCACCTGCGTAATTCTTCGAGTGCTCCGGTTTCCTCCCACATTACGACCTCCACGCTCTAGCATCCGGACTAACAAGAGTAATAGATGTTAGTTGAAACAAATTGTTTCATGATTGTTGTAAAATAGTTTGAATATATATAAGTTTAAAGGGCCACAACTCGAACATTTCCACTCTCGAAAATGTCTACTTTAACAATATTTGTACTTTGTACACAAAAAAAAAGATATGTCGTTGTCATGTTTGGTTTAACGTGATGTTAATTGTTTCATTCGTGGTTATTATACCTCAACATATAATAAGGAAACATAGTTAGGTATGTTTAATAACCTGTTTCCTAATCAGTTTTGTATATTGTATCAAATCATGAATTGAAATAAAGTTTGTATCAACATCCAATGGCGTACAATAACATCTTTTTGAAATGGAACATGGAACCATGACAAACAAAATACTGTCGTGAGGTTTGTGCTCTAGCCAATGTCCGGCAAAAGCAAATCAATGCCATTTCTAAGCAAAGGCAGAAAGTTTGTATTAAAACTATTTCAACTGTATCGACCATTAATTCTTATTTTATATACAAAGACTACATTTCAAATACGGTACGTCACCTTTATACAGTTAGTGTCAATAAAGTAGAACATCTCACAGACAGGTCAGTTATATTACCTGTTACGCATGATGACATTTGCGGGTAATAGGCAGAGGATATAAACTCTGAAATATTTCTGGGATATGAATATAAATGTTTAGTAAGAGTCTTACAGTTCATCAGGTATTCCTGCTTATAATTCCATAGCAATTGCATACGACAAGTGTTTCACTACCGGTAGGTTACGTAAGTATCGTACTTCGGGTTGACCATATGGTCGGTGGGTGTTCCCAGAACAGTTTTGATGTCCGTAATTTATAATCGTGTCAATGTGATTTCTAGCTTGGAAAGTTCGTGTTTACGTATTTTACCGAAATCTTAAAACGCAGCATGTTAATAATATATATGTGAACGTTTTGGCAGACGATATGTTAGAAGTGTTAGTTGTAACCTCAACATGTAGAGGCCAAGGCAGATACATTGTATGCAACTGATAATTAGAATTACGATAAGGTTGGTCCGTTCACATTGAACATACAATACGGAATTCTGTAAAGTCAATGGCAAAGGTTCCAAAGGATGGATGACGAAAAACGGACGAAACAGGAAAAGACATCAGCTTCTTTTATTGAACAAATAAACATGAAACCGACCAACCGTGAAGTCGGCATTTCGGATTGTTAACATAAAAAAGACAAATTCCGGGTATTTAGCTAATTCTTCGGAGTGGTTTCCTTTGTATCAATAAATAAACAATTACTATATAATGTCGATAATTTATTTTTCTACCACTATTGCTCGTGTTTAACAACTCTCAGACGATTGATTGTCTTCACTTCCGGTTGATTAACAAGCTGTGCATTTGATTAACACCTTCCGGGATTTTGATTGGCTGAAATTTGCACTTTGAACCCGCACTACATTTCAATCTGAACTGTCGTCTGTCAACATCAACATGGCCGAGTTGTCATTGCTGCCGCTGATACAAATAGGTGATCGGATGACGCTTTGTGTGGGAGAAAAGAATGATTTTTTGGATATTTCAAATAACCTGGGTTTCCATAGATTTGGAATCAGACTGGAGTCCAGATGTTAGATGGACACCGAGGCCAGGTACAATATAATCCCCGGGCGGGTCTTACCACCGGCAATGTCCCTCCCCAGACCCTCCTAGACCCTCCCCCAGACCATAACAAAGTTAGGCTCCACCCCTTCTCGGACAGAAGAAGAATGCCCCATTCTGCCCATCCCCCCATCAAAAACGCCAAACAATCTTTCAGATTCCGATGACGAACTCATCAACATTGATATAGATAAATTCATTAGAGATGAACAGAAGGGAACACACAGAAAAAGACCGAATCTGACATGAACAAACTGTCAGTATGTCTCTGCCAAAACTTTAGGGAGTCACGGCAAATCATACAAATACCACCTCGGCAAACTATGCAAACTTCTTTACCTATTTTTCATGAATGTGAAAGGAAAGGATGGAAAAGATCTAGAACCTAGTACTATTAGGGGGATCGCATGCAGTGTTGACAGGCACCTGAAATGTAACGGTTTTCAACAAGTAAGGAATTTCAAAAAGTGACAGAAGTCATCAAAACAAAACAAAAATGAAAAGCGGTGGGAAGGGAAATTCAGAAAATAAAGCTGATCCTATTTCTGATGAAGACATCAACAAATTATATGAAACAAAGCAGTTGGGTAATGACAATTCTAAATCCCTCTTACGGACCGTCTGGTTCATTTCGGAATGCAGGGCATTACAGAACATCATGAAATGAAATGGGGTTATGTGGTCGTGTGTACGACTCGAGAAATGACAATTTTTTGCAATGCAATGAACGCCAAACCAAAACAAGACCAGGTTCCAACCAAGGAAATGTTAGGGCACTACCCCCACGGACATGATCTACTCCCGAAAATCCCTCCCGCTGTCCCTCGGTCGCCTACAACCTGTACAAACAATACCGGCCAGGGACATATTGCTTAGACGACAGTACGTTTTGTATATCGGCCAACATCGGTAAACAAACTAAGAAAATTCATGTCGACTATGACAAAAAATGCAGGTATGTACAAATGCACAACATATATATATTACTCTACTGCAAAGTAATATAAACCTTCAACTCATAATTTACATAGAAAAAGGCATGGAAAAGATGAAATTTGTCAATGCATCGATTCAAATTCCGCGATTCAGTCAATTGCAAGCACAAGTTGGCAGTTGCCTGTATTGAATTGAACTTTCAGGTCTGACGTGGTCAAAATCTGTATCGACTGCTGCGCCGGCAAAATGACTTAACAAGCCATAGCGCACGAAAATACCTAGTACAGAAGTTGAATGACAGTGGAGTACCTCCGAATCAAATAATGCAGGTAGATTATCTAGATAATAGGCCTTCAGTAAACAGCTTTTATTAACAAACCATACAATAAACAATAAGCTAGAATCTAGTCAAAACTGGTTGAAGATAGTGACTTACCTCAGTATTAAGAATTATTGAATCAAACAAGTCTATTTCGACTGTTTTTATCATTTGTTACATTATCAAATGTAAATTTTTGATATATTCTTGTTTTGTAAAACAAAATATATGTTTCATGACGCTTTAAAATTAATCTACGTGTTTTGAATATTAATGAGTTTGTATATATTACTACGCGAATCAAATGGGTGCATGTAAACAAATACACGACAGCCAGCACCCGTCGGCTGAAAAAATAGTGGTAGAAACAGTTTATATAACTCGTGTCGGTTGACTAACATGTTTATTTAACTCTCGTTAGTTAATTTTCAAAATGTATTCCACTATATATATTCAATGTTCAACGTAATACACATGAAACTTTCTTTAAATGGACATGTGTTTTTCCTTACAGATTACTACTGAAGGACCATAAGAGGCGATTACAACACGGCTTCCTACCAAATCCTTTTTGACATAAACGCTTCTTCGGAGACATTTAGGAGACTTTTTTCCATTACTTTTCTACAAAACAAAAGTTCACGGTATTTCATTGTGACTACCTTTTACTAATTCTCTGTAGCTTGACCTTCCTTTGTTGAAGACCATCAAAAGTAAGAATTTGAACGTCTTTAAAACTATTAAAATGAAGATAAAATGAAGATTTTATTGTTCGAACAAGCTTCGTCACTTGTCTAATACTCAATAGCATAAACAGATCTAATGTTTGTGGTATAAGGAGATATAACCTTTATCTGATCGAGTATGACGAAATAATGTTTGTACACGTATAACTTATAAGGATACGTTATATAACCATTCGAAACAGGTTCAGTTAAATCATATCTCACTCATCAGCCACACAAACAAATATTGATCGTCTGTGTCAATTGTCAGACAGATATTTTCGCCCTGTGTAACTAACGACACATCAGGGATGAAATGCAATAAACGGCATGAAAGTGCAGTCAGGAGCAGCGCACTTCCGTGCCGTGGTACTAATAACTCAATTGTATGTATTAGAAAACAAAATAATTTTAACCACTGTTGATGACATGGCGTCGAAATTACAAGTGCAATTTTAGATAATAATTTGATTTAACTTAAAAATGTATGTGTTAACTCAAAGACAAAACATATAAACCCTCAAAGCCTGGTATAATAAAACAACGAATTCAATTA